TATTTCTATGGTTCTGTTGAGATTCTTGACATCCTTTGAGGATAGTCTAGGGAGGGATTGTTTTTCCAAGAATTTGTCCATGTCTTCCAAGTTGTTGAATTCATTGTAGTACAATCCTTCGTAGTACTTCATGTAATTATCCTTTTGATTTCATTAAGATCTGTTGTAATGTCCCCTCTTTCATCCCTCATTCTTGCTATTGAAATTTGGTCCCTCCTTTCTTTGGTTAGGCCAGCAGTCTGTCAATTCTGTTAATCCTTCCAAAGGACCAACTTTTAGCAGCATTAGTTTTTTTCCATAGTTTTCTTCTTTTCCCTCTCTTGAATATCAGCTCTGATTTTAATTATTTCTTTTCTTTTGCTATTAGTAGGATTCTCCTGCTGACTGCTGTAGTTGTTGTAAATTTTGTGCCAGCATATCAATCATGAGTCTTTCTGCCTTTTTCATGTGTGCACATATTTCTATGAAACTTCCTCTGATAACTGCCTTTGCTTTATCCCGTAAGTTTGGTACGACATGTTCTCATTCTTGTTGACTTCTAGAAATTTCCTAATTTCATCTCTAATCTGTGCCAGTATGCACTCCTTTTGCAATAGAGTTATCCATCCTCCAATTGTTTGCTTTTGTTTTCTTCGTTTTCCTTTTGTTGATTTCCTTATGGCACAGTGGTCAGAGAGAGATGTCTGTGTGATATTAATGTGCTTAAATGTATGTGGATTCGCCTTATACCCCAGTATGTGGTCTATCTATATGAAGCAATTTTCATAGTCATTTACAACCAGTAATAGCATGAACCTATGAAACTGTGAAATGTGTAAATTTGGTCAAATATTCTAACCATTATTCATACTTGCAACTCAATAAATCATAACTCTTTATTTTCTAGGTAATTTAATGTTTTCCAAACTAATTAGAAAATCATACAGAAATCCTACATTTCTTTGAATTCTATACTCCTTGGATTGAAAGAAGGAGCCCTGGTTGGACAGTGGTAATCTGTTGGGCTGCTAACTGAAAGGTTGTCAATTCAAAACCACCAGCTGTTCTGAAGGATGAGGCTTTCCACACCCATAAAGAGTTACAGTATTGGAAACCCACAGAGGCAGTTCTACCCTGATCTCCAAGGTCAGCATGAGTCAGAATCTACTTCATGGCAGTGAGGGTTTTTCATTTTTGTTTTTGGCTTTGTGCTGAATGAGAGTTGAATTCAGTTTTCCCAAGGCGTGGTTTTAAATATTCACCAATTCTCTACCTTTCAAAAATTGTCCATTAAAGAATTAAAGGAGTCATAGTGGCCTTATGAGTATTTGTTGGGTTGCTATCCACAAGGTTATCAGTTTAAGCCCAGTAGCCAATCCACAGGAGACACATCATGCCTTCTGCTCCCTTAAAGATGTACTGTCTTAGAAATACGACAGTGTTTCCACAAGTCAGAATCACCTAATGGCAGTCTGTAAGCAGGGATTATGGTTAACTTCTAGGGGAGACAAACAAACAAAGAAACAAAAACTTCCTGTTCATTCCAGAGAGCAGGGATAAGGAACATGGTAGACCCAGCCCTCCCCAGTCTGGCCACAATTTTGATGTGCATCTTGAGAAGCAGACCAGTATCCATTTTCTAGAGTTTTCAAAAGAGAATGAGACAAAGGAGGTAACTAGACAGGAATTCAGAAGCATTCCCATGTTCCTGTAAGTCTTGTGATCTCAACAATGAAAAAAAAAGGAATTCTAAGACCAATTGCTTTCTGCCAGGGCAGATGCTTGCCAAACACTGGACAGTGGTTTCTGGGATAGGAAGCAGTTATGTCCCTTTCAGTCTATGTGAGTGATAGGAACCAAGGCGAGAATGAATTTATCACAAAATGCTAGCCAGCAAACATCCTCAATTTCTGTTTTTCAGGATCCATAAGCATCACTGTGGTTATGTGAATAATGCCATATTAACATATTCTCAATCAATACTCAACCATACCCAATACTTCCTATGAATATTATACTTCAGATTTATTATAAACAGAAATAGATACAAGGAAACAAAATTTCAACACGCATTTTTCAGCCTACCAATGTCACATTTTGGGGAAACTTTATTTTCTCCTCTTGGAAAAGCTACCAAAAACATGGATCAAGAGTTAGTAGGGATGAATAATTCTTGCGAAGACTCCCTAGCCAATTCCAGTGTGCACCCTGATAAAAGACCGGTATGCCAGTCCAATGTGACTTTGTGCCTCAGTAAATCAAGTTATCTTGTTGTCAAGTACTTTTGCGTCCTTCCCTCTCATAGTGATCCTATACACAACAGAAGAAAACACGGCCTAGTCCCAAGGCATCCTTACAATTGTTATATTTGGACGCATAGTTGCAGCCAGTGTATCAATTCATCTTCTTGAGGGTCTTCCTCTTTTTCAATTCTATAGACAATGTGTTTTTTTTGCTGCTATTTTAATGTGTTTACCTGCCAAAGTTTTAGAAGTGGATTTTTCAGGTCCTTTTTCCTAGTCTGTCTTAATCTGGAAAATCTGCTGAAACTTGTTCAACATGGGTGGCCCTGCTGGCACTTGAAACACCAGAGAATAGCCTCCAGTATTACAATAATGCACAAACAACCACAGCATAACAATCTGACAGACAGATGGTACAAATCAAGTTATAATGTCTAGAATGAAGAAAATAATTACTTTAAGCTCCAAAATGATCATTTCTAGAGTTTTGGTGGGTTTTCTTTTTAAAGTGAACAATTTGAACCCATCTTTCGGAGAAAGACTTGTTGCACTACAACTTATTCAATTAAGCAACAATGGGTTCAGCACTGAATTTACATATGTTGCATTACTAGGTGACATAGCTGTGCCTTCATGGATCTTAAAATCTATCGAAGGAGGAAGCAACCTTCTTTGGTAAATGTTCAAATAAAGCAAATACTTAATAGAGAAATGGTGAATGTGGAGAGAAGACGTTATGCTGACAGGACTGGGATGTTCAACTTACAGGCGAGTGGGTGGCAGGAGATACTACCTTAATGCCATACTCAGGGACTTGAAGGTAGATAGACAGCTTTCTTTTGAAGTCAAGAAAGTTCTCTCCAAAGTCACGCTTCCTGGCTGTGATAATAGCTCCTTTTCCTACCAACTTTATCATCTTGGTACATTAAGTGACCTCAAAGTCACACTGTCCTTTTGTTTTGTTTTCAAATGTGTAAAACACAGTATCTGAAAAGTTGTTGAAGAGGCTTCATGAGAGGTCTTCTGGACATAGTGGCTAACTTGCTATTACTTGTTAAACTCATCCATTCTAATAGTTTTTGTTCGTGGAATGCTTTTCCCCTGGGTCTTTATATGATAGGCTGCTTAATAGAATGACAACTGCCACTGACTGCCATGTCTATGGATCAAACTTCCCCTACAAACTCCTAAGTAGCTGCAGAGGGACCTACTCTCGTTGAACTTTGCATCTTTTTCATCATAATGTTTTTCTCTTTGTGCTGAGATCATATGCATGTGACAGCACCTTGTATTTTCCCACGTGGATAGCCATTTACCTATTCTGTACCTTTATGTATGCTTTTATAACCTAGGGATTTTAAAAGGACAAAAACACGTACTTCATAGAGTTGTTGGAGAATTAAATGAGATAATTGTACCAAACATCTAGCATATAGTCCAGCACATTTCAAGTGTTGAGAAAATATTGTGTACCACAATTGCTTCCTACTACATTCTGGGCTTAGAAATTGTTTACATAAACAAATTTCTCAACTGAAGGTATATTTCCTTATTTTTTCTGTGTTTATAATTTCTTAGACTGGGTTCTCTAGCAAGGCAAACATGTGAAGTGTGTACATGAAGACTCGTGCATACATGTACAGGGAATGGCTTGTGACATTAGGCATCCTGCTAGAGTCACGCTAGAGGCCTCTCGAAAAGAGGGACAGACTTAAAACGTTCAGGCCAGGCAAAAAGTTTCTCATATCCCAAGAACTGGCGGTCAGAGCATGACGAGACAAATGCAGGAGAAGGTGAGCTTCACTAGAACCTTCACTTATGTTATGAACACAGGCTACATACAGCCCCCAGGAAACTCCTCTTTCAACTGACTGGCTGTGAGCACATCAGATCACAAAATTGGAAGTTATATATCGTATCTGCCAAATGACTGAGAAGTATAGCCTTATCAAGTTGACACATTAATTAATACAGTATGTTCATATAGCTTTGCAAGTGGTTCATGTTAAAAGTTCAAGACTTGTGGCAAGATGGCAGCCTAGACTGATGAGCTGCGCAGCCCCGCTACAACACAGATGTCAGAGCATAGATGCCGAGGGAAAATCTAGAGGCTTGACTCTCTGGAGAAAAGAAAGATAAATAACTTGAACCTTGACTGAGAGAATAAAGAGCAGAATGCTTACACGGGGAGCAACCTGACAACACATTCTCCACTGGCCTGTTGACAGCCAAGCAACCAACTCTGCTTAGAGTGCAAGGCACTCGCCAACTTTCAACAACAAGAAAGGTGGGTCCCTGCCTTACTTCCTGTGCCCACGGGGTGAATGGAGGGGCATCTGAGCTCTTGTGTAACCATTGGCCAGTTTCACCCCTCCTTCCACAACTGCAGGACTGCAATGCTAGTCTGAAAGAGGGGCAGACCAGGTTGGACCACCATACTGCATGGGAGACTCAGTGGGGACTGACTCATCCCAGGTTCCTCGGGTCTCCTTGGTGCATGCAGGGGATATCAGCCCCCACAGCGACATGCTCCCCATAGGTGAATCATGCAATGATCTGCTCAGAACCAGTGGAGGTGGTGATCCTTTGGAGGGCCTTGGGGCTGAAATAAAGCAGTTGGAAGAACTGGTTTGGTGTTTTCCTTCTTTCATTCATTTGTTTGTTCATTTATTCATTTTGATAAATCATCAGGACAGTGGAATCATGCTGAACATCTATAAATCCTGGCAACCACAGACATCAGATGCTGCAGAGGGCCTTGATAAAAAGCATTGACTGGAGTGTTACAGCTCTTTTAGAATTTGTCTAGCAGTTTTTATGTTTTTTTTCCCGGAAAACCCACACACACACCAGTATAACATGTATCTAATAATAGATTAGTTGGAAGTGAAAAAAAAAAGCATTGACTGGTTCCTCCCCCATCACCCAAGACCCCCTCCACCACTATCATGATACCAATTCTACGTTGCAAGTCTGGCTAGTCCAGAGGATGTACACTGGTACAGATGGGAACTGGAAACACAGGGAATCCAGGGTGGATGATCCCTTCATGACCATTGCTGAGAGTGGTGATACCAGGAGGGTCAAGAGAGTGTGAAATAGAGAGGGGGAACCAATTGCAGGGATCTACATATAACCCCCTCCCTGGGGGATGGACAACAGAAAAGTGGGTGAAGGGGAGGGGGGAGTGTGAAGAGGGGGAAATGAGTAGCTGATGCCAGGGGATTACGTGCACAGCAAGGGTTTTGAGAATGATGAGGGTAATAAATGTACAAATGTGCTTTATACAATTGACGTATGTATGGATTGTGATAAGAGTTGTATGAGCCCCCAATAAAATGATTTTTTAAAAAAAGCATTGACTAGTTCTGTGTTGGATTTGACCCGCTATGCTTTTTGTTTTGATAAACCAGCATCAAAGAGACATTGGATATGAAAGTGGTGGAACCAATCCTACGTCCCCACAGTCCCCTGACAAGCAGAAGAGTCACGGCCTCTGGCCTCACTCAGCCTGTGCTTGCACTGCAGTGAGCACACTAGCAGAACCGTGATAAGTGCACTGGTGGTTGAGAAAGTGAAAAGGCTACTCGCTCTGATTTAGAGTTTCATCGTTTGTGTGTGTGTGTATGTGATGTGTTTTCCATTCATTTGTTTTGTTTTATTATTATTATTATTTTCTTGATGGACCCGATGAAGACAACTGTCCCCAGACATGCTTCTACCTCCAGCAGCTGTACTTAGTGGGAAAGGACCACCACCCACTCTGTTATTACTTGACCAACAAATAGACACAAATGAAAAAAAACACAATATCTCAGAGACAACAGACCATTTCAGTTCATATGAGGAAACAAAACCGAATGATTCAAACATGTGTCAATTATACAGAATTAGAAGACCTTTCTGAGGAAGAAAAGACATTGGAACTACCAGAAAATGGATTTAGAATAATGATTTTTAGGCACTGTCGATGGATGGAGAGAATGATAGAGAATCATGGAAAAAATGAAAGCATTACAACCATTCAGGAAAATACTACTAAAAACAATCTGACAAAATTAATGAAAAATGAGAAGCCATACAAAAGCAGTAGTAAATAGAAATCTAGAAGATTAGTTTTAAGGTATTGGAAATAGATAATGCTTTGAAAGAGGAGCCCTGGTGATGTAGTGGTTACACAGTGGACTGCAGTCTGCAAGGTCAGCAGTTCAAAACCACCCAGTTCTCTGTGGTGGAGAGAGGAGGCTTTCTACTACCATTGACTTGCAGTCTCAGAAAGCCACAGAGGCAATTCTACCCTGTCTTACAGGGTCACCATGAGTTGGAATCAGTTCCATAGCAGTGAGTTTGTTTCTTGAAAGGGTAAAGCAGTAGAATTGAAATTACAGAAGGCCAAATTATTCAAGGCAAACCCCTCAGTACCATAGGTACTGCTAGATCATAGGTTCCCAAATTTACTTAGTTTACTGCCCCCTTTTCAGAAAAAAAAATTACTCAGTGTCCCCCTGGCAGTTCAAAACTTTTAAACTGTAGCCTATAAAGCAGGGTACAGTGTAGGTAACTGCTTTTGCAGAGCTCTGGATTTTTCCTGTGGTCACCCGGGACAGTAAACAGCACGCTAGATGAACAATCCATGAATAGAACCCAGAAAGTCCACAGAAAGTCCATGAATTATATGGGCACTATCAAGAGGAAGAATTGATTCATTTGAATTATGGTGCTGGGAAGGATACTGACACTATCACGGACTGCCATAAGAACAAATCTCTCTTGGAAGAAGTACAGCCAGAATGTTCCTTAGAGGCAAGAATGGTGAGCCTTCCCCTCACATACTGTGAATAGGTTACCAAGAGAGGCAAGTTCCTGGAGGAGTACATCATACTTGATAAAGTAGCAACCAGGTAAAAAGAGGAAGGCTTTCAATAAGATGGACTGACACAGTGGTTGCATCAAACACAGGAGCAAGTGGGAGGATGCCATCGTACCTGACTGATGTTTTCTGTTGTACATAGCATTGAACATCTAGAGGAATAACAAGAACCTAGCAGAGGTTCCTGAACATAAACAGACAAAAACCAGAGGGAACATAATCCAAGAGTTTCTAGAAGAAAACTTATCATACGAAAGAGGCAACAATAACCATTACAGAGGCTAAAAGAATATAAACAAGGCAGACATCAAAATAAAATCATCATGCACTATCATAATCAAAGTCTCCCAAATCAAAATCAAATCCTGAGAACAGCTCAGGAGAAGCAAAATGCTCTCTACACAGGGGAACCAATACGACTAAGCTCAGATTCTCAGTCAAAATCATACAGGCAAGAAAGCAATGGAATTACATATAGAAAACTCTGAAAGAAAAAAATTACTAACCAAGAATTTATCTGCCAAAATTATCCCTCAAATACAAGTGAGAAATAAGAACATTTGAAAATAAGGAGAATTAAATGAATTTATAAAAAAAAAACAAAAAAAAACAAGACCAAACTTACAAAAACTACCAATAGGGGATTCTTTGGACAAAAGCAAGTAGCAAACACAAACATATTTATAAAGATAGAGCCTAGGGTGGTATTGTCAGAGTTCAATAAATACTCTTGAGAGATGATCTCAGTATGTCTCTGGGCATAGTTTTACTTTATAGATTTTGTGTGTGTGTGTTTGTGCATTAAGTGAGAAAACCATCTGTGAGTCCCAGAATTCAGAAACTCACTATAGGTTGGACCTCTGACGGGGTTCAAGTTTGAAAACATTTCTTAGTACACATCAATAATATAGTCTGTGGAAAATTGTGTGTTCGACCTCTGACGGGGTTCAAGTTTGAAAACATTTCTTAGTACACATCAATAATATAGTCTGTGGAAAATTGTGTGTTCGCTGTATTGGGCATTTACTCTCTGAATGGCTTTTTTTTTTAGCTCTGAAGTTAGATGTCAAAGCAAACATCTATAAGGTATAATGGATGTTGTCTGGCCTTAGGATGAGAATTAGAAACGTGCACTTGTAACTAAATGAAGAAATCTTTAAATTTGTCAATATCTGGACTAATCTAAAATTATATTGCATCACCTTTAATTCTTTTAAAATATAATTGAATAAAGCAATAGCTATAAAATGTCTTATGTCACATAAACTAACACATACAAGAACTTTAGCATAAAGATTGTAGGAGAGGTAGATAAACAGACAGCTGCAGTTCTCTCTATTTCTTAAACAGTTTTATTGGTCCTTTATCCACATATCACACAATTCAATAGTTTAATCATATTAAAAGATTTGTACAATCATTCGCACAATCAATTTTAGAACATTTCTTTTTTTTCCTCCATGGTTAAGTCACTTTTAAAATGAGTTGTGTAATCACCATCAGTTCTAGTGCTCCCTCCCCCTCCCACAAACATTGTTTGCTCCCCCTACCTTGGCTTGATTTTCCCTCAAGGTTGTCCTGCCCCTTCTGTGGGTGGTGGTTGGCGGTGGGGTGGGGGTCTGTTAATTTGTCCCAGTCTTATCACAAGTGGATGGTATCCTCCCATCTGACCCTCTTGAAGGAATGTCCCCAGGCAATGTGAGGTCTCCTCTTTCAAGAGGGCTCTTGTGAGGTATATAAAAGGGAGGTGGTCTATGGCTCATGGCCAGTAGGTAGATTTCTCTTTTGTTCAGGAATTGGTCTCTAAGATTTGTTTAATTGGTGTTTGTCCTTATAATAGTGGACTCACAATACTCGTCCTTTTTTGATTGAGCTACTTCATTCAGCCTAATGGTTTCCACGTTCGTCCATGCCATGTGGTGTTTCATGCTTTCGTCACTGTTTTTTAGGGATGCACAGTATTGCAGTGTGTGTCCGTACCATAATCTGTTTATCCATTCTTCCACTGTTGGGCATATGGACTGCTTCTAGTTTCTTGCTATTGTGAACTGTACTGCCCATTTTCTATGTTCTGGAAGAATTTGTGTAATATTAGTATAAGATCTTCTCTGAATATTTTGTAGAATTCCCCCATGAAACTGTCTGGTCCTGGTCTTTTCTTGATTAGTACTTTCTTAATAACTTGTTCTGTTTTCTTTTGTTATGGGTCTGTTGATTTTTTCAATATCTGGGTGCACTAATTTGAGTGGGCACTGTGTTTCTAGGAATTTCTTTCTTCTAAATTGTCGAATTGGAGTACAGTTTTTGTAGTAGCATGTTATTATTATTTTTAATTCCTCTGGGTTTGTTGTAACATCACCATTTTCATATCTTATTCTGGGTATTTGTATAGTTTTTATTTCCCCTTTGTTAAGTTGGCCAGTGGTCTATTTTTTAATCCTTTTGAAGAACCAGCTTCTTCTCCTGTTTATTTTCTGTTGTTTATTTTTGTTTGTTTGTTTGTTTGTTTGTTTTCCATGTCATTTATTTCCTCCTTGATGCTTATGATTTCTTTCCCTGGGTCTCTATATTTTATGTTAATTGATGATAGCCGTAAAATGGAAATTACACACATATCACATCCCTGAGAGCAATCTCTAAAAATAATACAAAAATTGTTAGGCACCATTGACAAATAGGTATGACTAAAATACCAGTAGATCAAATAAAATGGAATTTTAATATATTGACATAATCCAAAAGAAAGCAAGAGTGGGAAAGGCAGGGGAAAACAACCTGTCTTTTTCTTCATTACAGGAAGCTAGAAATCTGAAAGCAAGGTTTGGCTTTATAGGCATTTTCTTTGTCTCTTGTTTTTTAATCCCAGGGAATCCTTGGAATTCCTGGCCTTTTTAGACTCATCATGTGTCTCTGTCATCATCATCAGATATCATCCCTTCTCTCCTCTTTCTGCATGACTGCATTTTTTATAA